CACACTCTTCAACTACCAATTACGTCTCCGTCCACCTGTTTTCCCGCTGTACTAACACTTGATCATGCTTCCGTCTTGGTTTGCGTGTTCTGTGTGTGAGCGGGAGTGATTTTGTGTGTGGTATACTTTTCCATCTTGTTTTAACAGCTCGTGGTTCTTTACTTGGTGCATCAGACGCCACCTTTATCATACATGATCATTAGAGAGGCAAATTTATGGTTCCGTGTGTTTTGTGGTAGCTGCGACTGTGAACCTTGCACTCTTTACTCTTTGTTGCCTGTAATGTTAGCAAGAGGAATTGAGGGGAGAAAACGCAGGGCAAAATGTTGCCCTCCTTGGTGGCTTTTGTTCCTCTGTGTCTTTGTAGGGCTTGCACTTGCTCAGTGGAGCACAGTATTTAAGTGGGCCACAAGGGAGTGCCTGAATGGTGAGGCAGGAGGTGTGTTGGTGTGCGTATATGTGTGTGTGTTTGTGGAGGGGGTTGGGGTGAGGCAACAAGAGTGTGTTGTGATGCAGGGGCTCCTTTCCTCGATTAGGTGGGCTCAGTTGGGGCCATGTACTTTAGCTTTCACACTGCACTGTGGAATATAAGTCTATATTCTCCTCCCTTCACAAGTCCTTTTTTTAGCATTGGGATATAGTAAGCTGAAGGCTGCGGGGTTGACATTTTTATCACTTTGCTAGCCTGCATCCAATGACTTTTTTTTTTTACACTTCAGGGTAAAGGAGTTGCTTGTGTGTTGAAGTATCTTAATCATACTAAATCGCAGAATATAAATATTTGAACCGGTCCTGGATAGTATCTGCCAAACTGCAGCCTGTCTATCAACAGCCTGCTGACATTGTCTGACAGTGATAGTATATACACGGATCCCCCTCCCCAAGGTGTTGAAAATAGTCATGCTGAAAGCAGAAGGCTTTGCGTTAATGAATTTCAGTGGCCCTGTATGTTTAAAGAAATGCATATTTTTCTTGCTGCTTTACTATTTTTCATACTCTCAGTGCATCAAGACTGACTCAACTTTGCAGTGAAACTTTGAGTCACCACAACACGAATAAATTGATAGCCTTCATCCCAACAAACAGGCCTGTATGATCTTGAAGATAAAGGGAAGGGGCAGGCTGTCCCCGGAGAGAGTCGAAGCTGTTAGGAGACCCAGCTTAATTAACCAAGAGAGGTTTGTTCATGGAAACTGTGATGGGGAGGAGGTGGCCTTCCCCTGGAAGGAATGGGTGATGGTAGCCATACTATTATTAACTCACAAACACAGGTTCACCATCAGTGTCTCTTCACACTCTTGGTAGGCCTCGGTTAGTGAGTACTGTAGACACGTCTCCGATGCACAGTGTAGCTCTTTTATTAGTAGCATGCTCTATCTGGTAAAAGCATTCATACTTTTTTTATTACATAAAAATAACTTGTCTTTTGTTATTAGCACTGACCCATGACTTCCAATCTCAAGTAACGTTAAACCTGTAAAAGTGTGGACTGAACGAGCAACGAGAAGCAGCATCTATTTGGAGTTTGTTAAATATTAACTTGTTTTATGGCTGTGAACATGGAGACAAGACCATGTGTCACTGATGCATGAGGCTCTCAGTACATTGAGTACCACAAGGCAGAAACAGGTGCTTGGATAGAGTTGCTCTTGAGCAGCTTTAGTAGCATTGATTTTGGGTAAAACAGACAAGGGTCTCTGGTGAAACCTCATGTTTTCGATTATGCTTAGATTAAAATCTCATTTAGGCATATAACCAAACCATGTGGATGATTTTTTTTTCCTTAACATGCTTCATGATAGATT